AGACTATAGTCTCACAGCAGAAAAGAGACACAGTACAGTACACTTAATATCAGGCTAAACAGTGCCACTGTCATAGTGTGTCTAAGGTATGGAGGGACTTTAGGGTATAGGTAGCTGGGTTTCTCAACTCCACCATATGTACAGTGCCTTCAGAAAGTATTCACACCCCTTTACTTTTTTTCATATTTTGTTTTGTTAGAGCCTGCTTTTAAAATAAATTAAATTGAGTTTTTGTGTCACTTGTGGAATTATGTATTTAGATATTTTTTACTAATTACACTGAACACAAACACAACATGTAAAGTGTTGGTCCCATGTTTCATGAGCCGAAATAAAAGATCTCAGAAATGTAAATGTAAAATGTAAATCTCAGCAATTTTCCATACACACAAAAAGCTAATTTCTCTCAAAATGTTGTGCATTTCTCTTTTGCCAACATAATCCATCCACCTGACAGGTTTGGCATATCAAGAAGCTGATGAAACAGCATGATCATTACACAGGTGCACTTTATGCTGGGGACAATAAAAGGCCACTCTAAAATGTGCAGTTTTCTCACACAACACCACAGATGTCTCAACTTTTGAGGGAGTATGCAATTGGCATGCTGACTGCAGTAATGTCCACCAGAGCTTTTGCCAGATAATTTAATGTTAATTTCTCTACCATAAGCCACCTCCAACATCGCTTTAGAGAATTTGGCAGTATGTCCAACATGCCTCACAACCACAGACCATGACTAAAACGCCAGCCCAGGACCTCTACAGCCGGCTTCTTCACCTGCGGGATCGTCTGAGACCAGCCACCCAGACAGCTGATGAAACTGTGGGTTTGCACAACCGAATAATTTCTGCACCTACAGTCTCAGGGAAGCTCATCTGCATGCTCGTCATCCTCACCAGGGTCTTGACCTGACTGCAGTTCAGCATCGTAACCGACTTCAGTGGGCAAATGCTCACCTTTGATGGCCACAGGCATGCTGGAGAACTCGTCTCTTCATGGATGAATCCCGATTTCAACTGTACCGGGCAGATGGCAGACTGATGTCAATGTTGTGAACAGAGTGCCCCATGTTGGCGGTGGGATGATGGTATGGGCAGGGATAAGTTACGGACAACGAACACAATTGCATTTTATCGATGGCAATTTGAATGCACAGAGATACCGTGACGAGATCTTGAGGCCCATTGTTGTGCCATTCATCCGCTGCCATCACCTCATGCTTCAGCATAATGCACGGCCCCATGTCACAAGGATCTGTACACAATTCCTAAGTGTCCTAGTTCCAGTTTTGAATTAAATCGGCTTGAAAAATCTATGGCAAGACTATTTTGAATTTGTCATTATGGGTATTGTGTGTAGATGGGTGAGAGAAAAAAAATTAATTTAATCCATTTTTAATTCAGGCTGTAACACAAAATGTGGAATAAGTAAAGCAGTATGAATACTTTCTGAAGGCAGTGTACATCTTCGTTAAGTTGGGTTGTGACAACTGTGGGCGGAGTGTACCTCCGACTACATCGAATCGCTGTCAGTCGATATGAGGAAACAGTTTGTGGTTGTATTTGACAAAAGTTTTATTAAAAAGTATGGATTTCAGGCACGTAGCTACAGAAGACAAACATGGGTATAAGGTAAGGGTTTAAGAATTTACATTCTTACAAGTATCAACTGACAGCGACTCGATGGAGTCGGAGGTTCAGTCCGTCCTTTCATCGTCTCCCCTCAACTCCATTGAAAACACTTTGGAGGACTTTGATATAGGGATAAGGGATACACAATAAATACTGTTGATCTAGTGGTGCAGCTTTAAAGAAAGGGAACACCTTTTTGAAAGTGACAGTATTTGGCAAAACATCAGCAAGTTGTAGCAACAGAAACAATAGTTTGGCATGTTATGGCCTGTACACACCTACAGTAAGTCTATAACTGGTGAACTTGAAATTACAAATACAATACAAACATTAAGGTAACTTAAAACTTGAACTTTACAAGAACATTCATCTATGTATTTGGGCTGAATATACGATGATGAACTCAAATGTATTGGGGGTTGACAAAATACATACTTGTTTGCAGTTGCATCGCCATCTGCTGGTGAATTTGAGAAAAGCAGTACCTGTGATATGTCAAATTTCAAAGATGACCGTTTATATAAGGAAATCAGTCAATTTAAATAAATTCAGTATGCCCTAATCTATGGATTTCACATGACTGGGCAGGGGCCTGGGAGGGCATAGACCCACCCACTTGGGAGCCAGGCCCAGCCAATTACAATGAGTTTTTCCCAACAAAAAGGCTTTATAACAGACTGAAATACAGAGACATCTGTGGCATTGTGTTGTGTGTCAAAACTGCACATTTTAGAGTGGCCTTTTATTGTCCCCAGCACAAGGTGCACCTGTGTAATGATCATGCTGTTTAATCAGCTTCTTGATATGCCACAACTGTCAGGTGGATGGATTATCTTGACAAAGGATCCCCAATTTTGTGATATCCAATTGGTAGTTACAGTCTTGTCACATCCCTGCAACTCCCGTACGGACTCGGGAGAGGTGAAGGTCGAGAGCCATGCGTCCTCCGAAACATGACCCTGCCAAGCCGCACTGCTTCTTGACACACTGCTCGCTTAACCCGGAAGCCAGGCGCACTAATGTGTTGGAGGAAACACTGTACACCTGGCGACCTAAGTCAGCTTGCAGGCGTTCGGCCTGCCACAAGGAGTCGCTAGAGCGCGATGGGACAAGGACATTCCGGCCGGCCAAACCCTCCCCTAACTCAGACGACGCTGGGCCAATTGTGCGCTGCCTCATGGGTGTCACGGCCGGTTCCATTAGTTAGCTACACCACTACATGGCAAAAAATTTATGAAAACACTACCAAGATTTGAATTTAGTTCAACTACCATCAAGCTACTGCAAAATGTAGTTAAATGACTTGGCAACAATTTAAAGAGACTTGAGAGAGAATCTACGTTTATTTAAATGGTATGCAATCTGATATAGACAATGAGACAGATGTTTTGAAATAACTCTATGTTACATTCAAACTAAAACGTATTGGTCGGTTATGTTTAATTGACAATGATGGTATTTCTCTATTACATTTTACTAGTATTGAGACCATCTGTAATAACTACCTATTCAGCCTTTTCTACATACTATGGTCTTCTGCATTCCTCACACAATGCACTTCCAACAAGCACCATACATCTTAAGCAACAACACCCTCTTTCAAACCTGGTACAAAACATACTTTACTTTCTCCCTTTGGTTATCAATATAGCAAGGCAGTGTTCGCCTAGGTTACCATAAGTGTTGTCATAACACAATCACACTGCTCAAGTAAAACCACATGCTGTTGAAGTACTAATGAAAGACTACGTTTAAAAAGGCACCAATATAGAACCATTGCACTTTGTTTGTTTAGGGACCTCACCTGGTCATATGAAAAGTGAAGGATGGCAACTTCTTCACCGAGACCAATTGAGACTTAGAAAAAATTACTTTAAGGGGCTTGCACTAGTAAAAAATGTTTTACAAAAAATTCAGAACCATAATACAAATGAGTTTCTATATTTTTATTATAACAATTAACATCCAAAATGTTAAGACTAAAGCAGACTAGAAGTTGAAGCAACGAGAATTTCAGTAAGAACTTAACAGTGCTCTGCAAGGTAAGGTTGTCAGTGCATTGTAACAGCAAACTATAAAAGTAATAAACATATCCACACTGCGGGTGGTTACTTGCAGTCACGGTTACACAGTCAGTGAATGGACACCAATACTGTACGATGCTGCTAGTGAAGACGTGTCAATCTGCTGTTTCACATATTCACTTATTACAGGCTTATAAGCTTGTTACAACAGTTGAAGCTAATTTACAATGGTCATGTAGTCTTTCACCTTACAATAAACTGTCTGATCTTGTCCTTACAACCAAATGCTTCAATAACACTTTGGAAATGTTTCCAAAAGTAAAGCCTAAATGCTCATTTTTGTTGTGTATGTTTTGTTCAACCTTTTGGAATTAAAGTGTCTTTTGACAGACCATGCACCTGAATACCTGGTCACCCATTTATTTTTATTTATTTTTAAACACCACATTTCATACCATCTTAGTTGCAATATAGGTTTCCAGCAGTAGTTTTTAGAAGCAATGTGTCCTTCACACATTTGGCTAATAATATAATGTCTGAAATTAATGAATGTCCCGTGTAGCTCAGTTGGTAGAGCATGGCGTTTGCAACGCCAGGGTTGTGGGTTTGATTCCCACGGGGGGCCAGTATGAAAATGTATGTACTCAATAACTGTAAGTCTCTCTGGATAAGAGCGTCTGCTAAATGACTAAAATGTAAAATGAATGCACCAATGAGCCTTTCCAACAGTATGATGCCAAATAGTCAAATGGCAAAAGAGTGCTAATATCTTTTGACAAGTTAATGTTCACATACAGGGATGTACATTGTTGTCTCCAAGTACAGGAAATAGCCATCATGTCATCCAATCTCTTCTGTCTTGTTAAATTCTCCTCTTCTAGCACTGTATATATAAAGTCACTTCTTTGAGAGAGACAGCGGAGTTGAAGAGTTGCTCCTTTTGGGGGGAGATCTGGACAGTGTGTGTGTGTGTGTGTGTGTGTGTGTGTGTGTGTATCAGGGTGGGGATGTCAGTGACCATGGTGGTCAGTCATTTCCATGGTTTGCCATGGTAAAGTCATGGAGCACTTTGGGGGCAATGGAGGCAGTGAAAGAGGAGTTAGCTGTGAAACTTTAGCTTTTAACTGTCTGAGCTCCCCCCCCCCTCTTTCTCCCCCCTCCTCGTCATCATATCTTCTTCATTAGAAACAAGGTAGCTACACAACAAAACAAAATGTAAATGTTACCGTTGTTAACAAGAGTAATCATATTAAAAGTTGTAAGAATAATGAAATCTGAAATCCGTCCTGTATGGCGTCTGGTGCTCTTGGCGGACCCCTACCCCCGAAGGCTTAGCAATGGTTTAACACTTGTGCTTCATGGCCAGCTGTGGAGAGGGGAGGGAGAGAGAGAGGGGACAAAAAGTAGGCTACATGTCAACCATAGTAAGCTGTGGGGATATATAAACATTATACAGTGACTAATTCAAACAAGAAAGCTATTCTTCTTCAACAGCCCCTCTGGATAGATGTCTTGGGGTTGACACAAATAATTCAAAAATCAGTCTAAAGAAGTATCAAAACACAATGAGATTCAAAATGTATTAATCCGTGAACACTGCAAAAACACCAGTCAATTCTTAAGTTAGCTAGCACATTAAAAACCACCAACAAAGTCAAATAACTTAATTGATGCTGCTTTGTTTTCCCACCTGGTGGAAGCCAACATGGTTGGCATGGCGAGTAATAGAACAGGGAGAAGCAGGGTCTATTCTCTAGGCAGAGAGGAATAATAGCTATTAGGGTGGTGTTATTCCTCAGGCTTGGTAAGCGGTCCAGGCCCTGGTATTTTCATCACCCTGGCTCATTAACAAGGGTTCTAACAGGCCTGGCTGGAGGTTCATTAGAGAAAAGGCCAGGGCCACCAATCTAACTCACACACACACACAAAGACGCACGCATAGTTAAAAATTGAGGTGGGTGAAATCTCCAGAGCTAACAAGTGGGGGCAGCAGAGCTGCAGCACAGACCAGACAGTCGTGTTCCTGCTGAATGGATGGTGAGAGCACAACAGTTCTTCTATGGGACTGATGTCACACAGAGCCTCAGCAGGTGGGAGACACTGCAGAAACTGGCTGACAGAACCTGCAGTGCGGTTTCCTGCTCCAGGTCACCTTGACACATAACTTCTTCCTTGTTTAGGAGTCTAGTACAAGATACCGTATGTTCTCAGCTTTAACCAAAACATACTGGATCACAGGTAGAAAGAGGGAGACATGTGGTGTCTTGTTCAATGGCATTACAGGGGGGAAAAGTTTAAGATTCTAACCACAAACCTGCCTTCTTACTGTACAATAGTTGGCAGATATACAATGTTCCCAATTCTTACTTAACATCAAGACTCAAGAGGAGGAAAGATAAATCCTTCAAAACATTAAGTAAATATTGTTCAATGTTATCCCCAGGCAGAAAATACATTGCAGAATGCATTTACTGTAGCTAGCAAACACCAAATTACACACAGTGGTTATCCACGTATAGGCCTGCAGCTTTTAACAAAGTCACATACTGTACATGCTTAAGTGAGTCTTAACTTTTCAAAAAGTGCAAGACAACCAATTAGTTAAATAGCTCATACAATTAAGCGTCTAATAGCTGGGGCCCAATAGGGAAGTGGATGACTGTGCCTGTATGGTATGGGGAGTTATATGGCCATTCTCTGAGTTAAAGAGTTTTCCTATGAGCTTGATTAATTTCACACCACGGGGTCTTCATCTGTTAACAGTGAGGGGCCGACCATGTCCCTTCAAATGGCTTTCAATTAGATCGGCATTACAGTAATGTATTATTCATTTGTGTGTTCATAATTAATGCGATGTGAACCATTTTATAAACTAATGAATTGGCATTCCGGTCCAGAGTGCATGGAACAGTGGGTCAACCAAAGTGGGGAGATCCCGTTTTTACAGGAGATGCCAGAAGCAGGCTCGAAAAAATTATAGCTGCTTAAAAAGTTATTGGAATTGATCACAGTCGTGGGTGCATGCTAGAAGCGGAGAACGATTCATTTTATCATTTTTGTTCTTCTCATTTTTGCAGCAAAACCATATTATGCTAATGACATCGTTAAGCAGCGGGCGATTCGTTTTCCTTGTGTGAGGGATACAGTTGGATGGAGAGTATGAGAGAAACCCATGGAGAAGAGCTGGGATGGATAGAATAGATAGAGGAATGCACTATGTGGAGAGGGGGACCTACTGAGTTTACATTTTCATGATAGATGGGATGAATTGTTAGTCAAAGACCATGGGGAAATGTGGGTTACATGGTATCACTATGCGGTAATGTGTGATTATGTTTTAGCAATGTTATAGCCTATACCTACTGTAGGGCCTACATTTGTTCTGTTCAGTTCATGTGGTGAAGAAAAACTCCTCTAGCCCTTGTAATGATGTGATATGATATGTGACACGTGACTGTGTGTGTGTCTCACCTTGTGTGCGGTGACTGAGAACTGCTCGGCACTGTTCTTCATCTCCCCCGTTTTCTCCTCCGCCCGGCCTAACCGCTCCCCTCGCTCGTTCAGAGCCTGGCTGGCCTTCTGTACAGCACTGGTCACACTGTCTGCTGCAGAGTGGAGTATACTGTTACCTGGAGAGGAGAGAGAAAGGGGGAGCAGGGGGGAGAAGGGAGATAGAGAGAGGAAAAGACAAAGATAAAAATGAGAGGGGGAAAGAGGGAGTAGATGGGATAAACATAATCAATTATACAGTGCCTTGGTGGAGAAGAGGGTGAGGTGCTGCAGTTGCAACAGAGTATGAATCACTATCAACAAAATAACTAAATGCAGCACTGACATGAGTCTTACAGAAATCCCCTGCTTTATAAGTTAATGCTGATGACTCATTACGCAACCTTGGCCGGACTGTGATTATTGACAAGGAACCGGTGAAAAATAGGTTACTCCAATCAGGGATGTCCTAGGAAGCCAGCTAATTAGTTTTTCTACAGAGGTTGGTTCCTGTAAAAAATGAGCCAATGAAATGAACCCGTCACACTCCTCGTTTACAAAGCTTAGACCTCATCTGTCTATCACGCCATTTCTCTCAAATGAACTGAAACAACCTACTCGCTACTTAAAAGCATTCCAAATAGCTCCAGGTGTTTCTCTAGGGTTATTATTATTATTTTCTTTAGTAAAACTTTAGTGCCAGCTCCTTCTCTTTTCCTCCTCTCAGACTAAAGTGTGATAATGGCAGAGAGGGGAGGAGTGTGTCTGACTCTGAACCCGTTGCGCTGGCGGCACAGCTGTGTGGATGAGAGGAAATAACAGAACACAGTCTTCCTCCGATAGCACCGACCCTGCGGATGTTTCAAACTGGCAAACTATTAATCTACACTTTGGGGAGCGCTGCCTGCCGTCGACTAGTCACTACGCTAACAATCCTTGCTTTTAGTTGGGGACCGCCGTCTGCCCAAAGTGTTCACTTCAGAGCCATTACCCTGGCACAGTGCCAGTACTATATAATCATCGCTTTATGTGGCGATATATCCAAGGGCAGCGCGCCACTTTGAATAGTTTTGAGCATTGCTTTTCCTTTTAAGTGTCTTCTATTGTTGACCTGGCTTGGGTTATTTGGTTGTCTGGGAAAGAAGACAATGGGGATGTTTTTTGATCAGTTGTTCCAAAGTTGTGAACAAGCAAGCCATTATTCAGCGAAACTGGGGACTGGTACTGCAATTTTCTGTACAATAGACAAAAAGAGACACTGTGCTCCTCTCAACTGGCTAGTTGTGGAAGGAATAGGAAATACAGCGGAACTCAATGTAAATGATGCCTTCCGTGTTAGATGGCCTTAGGTGCAGTATGGGATGGCCTCTTGGGGTTTCAGTTCAGTTCCAAATATCCCATGCGATCAAAACCAAATCATAAACAAATCACAGAGCAAATTCTATAAAGGGGCTTTGACAATATAACAAATCATACAATATGTCCTGTCTCCCCACTTCTCTGAAGGGACTGTATAACTGGAAGATAAGACAATATTGCTTCCACTTCTGCTTTGAGATAATTGAATAGGAAGATAGAGGACATCCAGGTTCTGCTGCAGGAGAGGGAAGCCACTAAAGATATTGAACACAGCCAGTCATTTTAACACGTCTTCCCAAAGGGAACCCATACTGTAGAGTGTAGACTATGCAGTGCTGTGTGTCCTGTGGCGCCCATGCAGGTACGCTGACTGATAAATAATTGGAGTTGTGGCGCAGCGGGGTAGATGACAGCCAAAAGCAGACGGGATGCCAGCTGGTGTTCCTCTTCTCTCCTCTGCTTTCCTTCAAAGGAAGTTAACTTGATACAGTAAAATATGTCCGCTCACACAGACCTACAGGGAGAGAGAAGAAGCTTTCCCCAGGTTTCTCTCCCAGACAGACTAAATTGATCACCAACAGATAGATAGCAGAGTTCCCCTTCCCTCAAGGCTCTGGGTAATCAAAACCTTTCGACTTGGATAACTTCTTCTCCAAGTCAAAACACTGGCATGGCAAAAAGTTTGTACAGCGGCCACGGCGCGGGATATGGCTCGAAAACGTACCTCAATCAAGGGATGGAAGGTGTCGCTGTACTTCAAATTATCCTATTATCTGAACTGACAAAATCGAGAAGATTGAAATACTGCTACTTCTTAATTAAACTGCCTTTTTCATGCAAGGCTAGCTAATGCTAAAGCAACCCATTGGATTCCACAACACTTCCGGTAGATACTCACCCCAACGCTAGACGTCACATTGTCATGTATAATGGGATAATTAGGAGTGCAGCGACACTACACGTTTTCGAGCCATACCCCGCGCCATCACCGCAGTGCAAACATTTTGCCATGGCAACGTTTTGACTTGTAGAAAAAGATCTCCAAGTCGAAAGGTTTTGGCTAGGCTCTGGGTTTTATTACAGTCTAGGGAAGGAGAAGTGTGTTTATCTAGCATTGTTGTGGCCTCCATCTTCCTCACAGTATTGAAATAGGGACTTGTATTGGGGCACAAGTGACAAGTCTCCCCCTATGTCCCCCTTCCCATCCCTTAAAAAAACAACAACACTCTCCTTCCCCTGAGAGCAGATAAGGGATGAGACCTCTTCACCTCCATCACATCCCTTTAATCCCCTCTCTCCGCTGAGAGAGGGCCCAGAGACTAACACTCCCCTCATCCCGCCATTCCACAAACACCCTTCCCTCTCTTTGCTGACTCTCACTCCATTCCCTTGGCTGGGCGATTCCGGCCAGCTGCTGGTTGAGTCCCCTCCTATGGTGAATGTAATTTAAAAGAATAGCAGGGAGGCAGGTTGTATGGTGACTGTAAGGCACTCTGTAGAGTTGATTAAGGTGCAGTCATTCTGTAAGGGGGATTTGAAGGAGTGAGGAAGCACATGGTGATTCAACTCTCTTTCCTCTGATTCTGTTGAGGTTTCTCTTTACAAGAACATGGGGGAGTGATGTCTTGCTTTTAACAAGCACCTCTGGGTTGGTTTTTCAGGAAACCAAAGTAATCTCTGCACAGAGCAAAATGTCACTTCAGTGTTACAAAAAGGGTTGAGAGCTGGCACATTTTTGGGGGGAGAAATGTAGCGTTGACATTCGTTACGATAACGTATTTCTGTTTGGCTGGTGAGTTTTTCTGAAATGGTTCGCTGACTATCCCTCTGAAGGAATCTGACCTTCCTGAGGCTGTGTCCTATGACCAGGGAACTCCTACTTCAACAATGGAGGGAGAATGCATTTCTACATCCCCATGTTATCAATATAATCAGGGCGTGCCTGTAAAACAAAAAGGGGACAGAACAAAAGACAAAACCCTTTTTCTGCAACAAAAGTTCAAGAAAAGTGAAATGCCCCACAATGAACCCGGAAGAAGAGGGAAAGGTGATCCAAAACACGATTCCAGGGTGATTCCATTCCTTGAGCCTTTGACTTCTAATCAAGTGACCAGAAGTCAGGCCAACACAATGTCATGTTGTGGTTGTGAATATGGAACCAATTTAATGTGCAGGAACATGATGATGACTGTTAATCGCCATTTTCTCTCAAAGCCTGCTTGATTGGTTATGCCAGTCAGGGTTTCCCAAACTCGATCCTGGGCCCCCCCTGGGTGCACGTTTTGGTGTTTGCCCTAGCAAAGCTTGATAAAATGGTTATTTGAATCAGCTGTGTAGTGCTAGGGCAAAAACCAAAACATGCACCCAGCGTGGGTCCCAGGACAGAGTTTGGGAAAACCTGACTGTAAATCACCCAGTTAATACATCTACACTCAGACCAATGCACGCATACACTCAGGTATACATTCTCAGAGGCACACACATGCTTGCTAGCACAAACACACCCTTGCATAGGCCAACTATCTTAAAGATGTAACCTCAAGCAGAGTCAATGACCATCCAGTATGAATTGTGTGCCAGTATGCTGCCCTGAGGCAGTCTCTGTGTGGGTGTTGTAGGAGAGGGGGTAGAGACCATAGAGCTAGACCATGTGTTCTATATCTATGGTACAGAGACTCTCCTGTAGAGTAGCAACGCCACCTACTAATCTGTACATTACACATTTAAACAAAAGCTTTCCATATTAGTTATGACCAAAAGGCCTTTGTTGTTGTTCCCCTTAAAGCAGAGCTACTTGAAAATGTAACAGCTGTAGCATTGTGTAGCTACAGTAACTCACTCCCCTGTCATCCTTAGTTTGTCAGTAAGAATTTCATGCAGCTCAACATGGTGCTGCACAAGCTGTGCACAGCGAGAGGGACAGGGAGCGGAGGAGAGAAGAGAGAGATGGTGATCAAGAGATAGTGTTGAGAGAGCTGTAGAGCTCAAGAGAAGGCAAAAAAGATAGAGTGAGAAAGGGAGAGAGAAGAAAGATACACAGCAGTCAATAGAGACTGGCGTAACCAACACAAGATTAACTCAAATGTCACCACCCTCTAAAGCAGAGCTCCCCAAAAGGATGGCATCACACAGGCACACACACCTACTGCTGTACCCACCACAACCCCCAGCTGGCAGTGGAGAAACCAACCGCCCTACCATGCCCTCCTCTATACTACAGATTAGGAGACAAATCCATTGGATGTTCCCTAACTCCCCCCTTCACTTTTCTGCCGTCTAATTCATGCAATCTTGACATTAACTTCTAACCCAAGCTGCCCGTTTTCTTATTAATATAATGTTAATCCACTTTTTTTAATGAAGCCTTTAGCTAGTTCTTTTCATTAGGAAGTCAAGGATGGGTGTGACCTAACATACTCTTTGGACCCTGGAGTCAGAGTAATTAGGAGAAAGGGGAAGATTCTTCTGACATTTTCAGCTAGGTTACAGTAGAGTTTTCCTTTCATTTTGTCACTGCTCTGCTAATAGGTTGCAGCAGGCAGGGAGTGGGGATGCTAATGGAAACAAACCTGGAACATTCTGTCCCTGAACCAAGGAGACACTGTCTGTCTGTCTGTCTGTCTAATGGAGCAAATTGCTACTAGGTATTCAAGTACTGTACCCTCATGAAATGTTAAAAAGAGATAAACGTCAGGGTTGCATACTATACTGAAAAACCATTACCCTGTTCATAATTGCCTCGTTTATATTAGTTCAAGAAGAGTTTGAGGATGAATTGGTATTGAGGTGACTATAGTAGGTAATGGTAATTTTGTCATTGTAATGTCCTTGTGCTTGAGGTGGAGAGAAGGTAAGACTTGAGTTGACGACATGGTTCCTCAGAGTGAATTAGCTTGCTTAATCTGACAGGTTGTCAGTGAGGTGATTGTCGATTTACATAACTCACATAAGCTGTGCATCTAAAAGGGGAGCCCTTTCTGTACACCCGTCCCTCAAAATGACAGTATCACACTTGGAAGTCGTATACTCTGTGTGCATACAGATATTCTAGAACACATATTGTACATTCTGTAAGCCATAAAATGTTGTTATATCATTAATTGAAGATCGAAGATTGAGGGGCTTAACTGCCTTGTTAGTAAAATTATTAATTATTTTTGTTGAATGTACGATTTTTTTCCTGCTTACCTTCTAAGAGTAGCCGTCGACCTTGGCGTCGACTGTTTAAAACAACTTCTTTCCTCATTCTGTTCAAAAAGACCTTGCAACGGAAAACGACTGAATCTACAGTTTCATCGTCTGTGACAAGAAAATGGAAAAGGAATGTCTTAATTTTGGTTTGTTTTTAATATTTGATCTGTTAGACCTAAGAAATGACTAGATGTTGGATAATAATTATTACTTGTTAAAACACAGTACAGTTTGTTCTAATATGGTCATTTTAGTTAACTTTGGTTAAATAATGTAATAGACTTACTGTATTACGTTTTTAACAGGGTTTCGATCAAACATTGAAGTAGGAAATAAATAAAATATTTTTATTTGGGGTAACCGGAATAGATTAGGGAAGTTATGGGACCGTTTAAATAGAAATTAAGCATTATTTGTTATTAACTTGATGAAAGGTAGCCAATATTCTAACATGTTTTCACTTGAGTTTTATTTGAATGCAAAATCTATCAGAACTGTTTCCCATAAGAAATCTCACAACAGTTTACAATGGTGTAAAGATGTCTGCTTGAAGTGCCCTCCTGACAGTAAGCATTTGCATGGTAGTTTCCAAAATGATTCAATAGCAATAAAAGGAGAGTAGATTAGCATTTAGCATCCTAGAATTCAAAAAGTGATCAAAGAAGCAGACAATATTTTGAAGACCCTCTCACTATTCTAAGACACGCTTTGCCACTTAAGCAGAGGCCCAGGAGAGTCTGTGGGGAAGAGTGCGTGCTGCAGCTCAGTCTAGCCTGATAACAGGGCTATAACAAAATTAGTCCAGCAATGCTGCTTTAATTCAGGCCCCATTACACCGGCCATCAAGTGCCTGGCTGCACATCTCCTCCACACGGCTCTAAAGGGACTTTACAGTGGTCTCTGGATGAGGGAGGCTTTTCGTGCATCACCTACACATACACTTAGGTTGGAGTCATTAAAACTAGTTTTTCAACCACTCCACAAATTTCTTGTTAACAAACTATAGTTTTGGCAAGTCAATTAGGACATCTACTTTGTGCATGACACAAGTAATTTTTCCAACAATTGTTTACAGACAGATTATTTCACTTATAATTCACTGTATCACAATTCCAGTGGGTCAGAAGTTTACATACACTAAGTTGACTGTGCCTTTAAACAGCTTGGAAAATTCCAGAAAATGATATCATGGCTTTAGAAGCTTCTGATAGGCTAATTGACATCATTTGAGTCAATTGGAGGTGTACCTGTGGATGTATTTCAAGGCCTACCTTCAAACTCAGTGCCTCTTTGCTTGACATCATGGGACAATCAAAAGAAATCAGCCAAGACCTCAGAAAAAAAATTGTAGACCTCCACAAGTCTGGTTCATCCTTGTGAGCAATTTCCAAACGCCTGAAGGTACCACGTTCATCTGTACAAACAATAGTACGCAAGTATAAACACCATGGGACCACACAGCCGTCATACCGCTCAGGAAGGAGACGCGTTCTGTCTCCTAGAGATTAACGTACTTTGGTGCGAAAAGTGCAAATCAATCCCAGAACAACAGCAAAGGACCTTGTGAAGATGCTGGAGGAAGCAGGTACAAAAGTATATATTTCCACAGTAAAACGAGTCCTATATCGACATAACCTGAAAGGCCGCTCAGCAAGGAAGAAGCCACTGCTCCAAAACCGCCATAAAAAAAGCCAAAACTACTGTTTGCAACTGCACATGGGGACAAAGATCATACTTTTTGGAGAAATGTCCTCTGGTCTGATGAAACAAAAATAGAACTGTTTGGCCATAATGACCATTGTTATGTTTGGAGGAAAAAGGGGGTGCTTGCAAGCCGAAGAACACCATCCCAACCGTGAAGCACGGGGGTGGCAGCATCATGCTGTGGGGGTGCTTTGCTACAGGAGGGACTGGTGCACTTCACAAAATAGATGGCATCATGAGGAAGGAAAATTATGTGGATATATTGAAGCATCATCTCAAGACATCAGTCAGGAAGTTAAAGCTTGGTCGCAAATGGGTCTTCCAAATGGACAATGACCCCAAGCACACTTCCAAAGTTGTGGCAAAATGGCTTAAGGACAACAAAGTCAAGGTATTGGAGTTGCCATCACAAAGCACTGACCTCAATCCTATAGAAAATGTGTGGGCAGAACTGAAAAAGCGTGTGCAAGTAAGGAGGCCTACAAACCTGACTCAGTTACACTAGGTCTGTTAGGAGGAATGGGCCAAAATTCAACCAACTTATTGTGGGAAGCTTGTGGAAGGCTACCCAAAACGTTTGACCCAAGTTAAACAATTTAAAGGCAATGCTACCAAATACTAATTGAGTGTATGTAAACTTCTGACCCACTGGGAATGTGATGAAAGAAATAAAAGCTGAAATAAATAATTCTCTCTACTATTATTCTGACATTTCACACTCTTAAAATAAAGTGGTGATCCTAACTGACCTAAAACAGGGAATTATTACTAGGATTAAATGTCAGGAATTGTGAAAAACTGAGTTTAAATGTATTTGGCTAAGGTGTACAGTGGGGAAAACAAGTATTTAGTCAGCCACCAATTGTGCAAGTTCACCCACTTAAAAAGATGAGAGGCCTGTAATTTTCATCATAGGTACACGTCAACTATGACAGACAAAATGAGGGAAAAAAATCCAGAAAATCACATTGTAGGAATTTTTATGAATTTATTTGCAAATTATGGTGGAAAATAAGTATTTGGTCACCTACAAACAAGCAAGAATTCTGGCTCTCACAGACCTGTAACTTTTTCTTTAAGAGGCTCCTCTGTCCTCCACTCGTTACCTGTATTAATGGCACCTGTTTGAACTTGTTATCAGTATAAAAGACACCTGTCCACAACCTCAAACAGTCACACTCCAAACTCCACTATGGCCAAGACCAAAGAGCCGTCAAAGGACACCAGAAACAAAATTGTAGACCTGCACCAGGCTGGGAAGACTGAATCTGCAATAGGTAAGCAGCTTGGTTTGAAGAAATCAACTGTGGGAGCAATTATTAGGAAATGGAAGACATACAAGACCACTGATAATCTCCCTCGATCTGGGGCTCTACGCAAGATCTCACCCCATGGGGTCAAAATGATCACAAGAACGGTGAGCAAAAATCCCAGAAACACACGGGGGGACATAGTGAATGACCTGCAGAGAGCTGGGACCAAAGTTACAAAGCCTACCATCAGTAACACACTACGCCGCCAGGGACTCAAATCCTGCAGTGCAAGACATGTCCCCCTGCTTAAGCCAGTACATGTCCAGGCTCGTCTGAAGTTTGCTAGAGTGCATTTGAATGATCCAGAAGAGGATTGGGAGAATGTCATATGGTCAGATGAAACCAAAATATAACTTTTTGGTAAAAACTCAACTCGTCGTGTTTGGAGGACAAAGAATGCTGAGTTGCATCCAAAGAACACCATACCTACTGTGAAGCATGGGGGTGGAAACATCATGCTTTGGGGCTGTTTTTCTGCAAAGGGACCAGGACGACCGATCCGTGTAAAGGAAAGAATGAATGGGGCCATGTATCGTGAGATTTTGAGTGAAAACCTCCTTCCATCAGCAAGGGCATTGAAGATGAAACGTGGCTGGGTCTTTCAGCATGACAATGATCCCAAACACACCGCCCGGGCAACGAAGGAGTGGCTTCGTAAGAAGCATTTCAAGGTCCTGGAGTGGCCTAGCCAGTCTCCAGATCTCAACCCCATAGAAAATCTTTGGAGGGAGTTGAAAGTCTGTGTTGCCCAGCGACAGCCCCAAAACATCACTGCTCTAGAGGAGATCTGCATGGAGGAATGGGCCAAAATACCAGCAACAGTGTGTGAAAACCTTGTGAAGACTTACAGAAAACGTTTGACCTGTGTCATTGCCAACAAAGGGTATATAACAAAGTATTGAGAAACTTTTGTTATTGACCAAATACTTATTTTCCACCATAATTTGCAAATAAATTCATAAAAAATCCTACAATGTGATTTTCTGGGGAAAAAAATCTCAATTTGTCTGTCATAGTTGACGTGTACCAATGATGAAAATTACAGGCCTCTCTCATCTTTTTAAGTGGGAGAACATGCACAATTGGTGGCTGACTAAATACTTTTTTTCCCCACTGTATGTAAACTTCCGACTTCAACTGTAACTAGTGAGGCGACAACCAAAGACGTGACCAAGACGGAAGTCTATGATGAGAAAAGTATGCTTGTCATTATTTAAGCAATAGCATTAAAGGTGCACTCCGTAGTTTAACATTTCAGTCAATAAAGAATAGGAACAGGTGTCCTAATTGTGTGTATTGCACAACCTTTTTGTCTAAACCTCCATTGTGAGGAATTCATCCTGTTACCACAAGGGGAAGTACAGCAATGGAGAGTGCCTTCAAGCATCCTCACCTTATAGCCCACCTCTGTATTATAATTCCAGACCTTTCTTCAGATTAAGTACATCTGCCAGAGTGAACCAGCAGACCTCTTAGATAAAGAAAGGATGAACAAGGTTCCTCATAAGCTAACAGAATCCACAGTAAGCCTGACGACCTTGTCCTGTCATGTCAAACCATTACAATCTCGCAACGCATAAGAACAACCGTTCCCGAGACCGGCCTGCCAATTAATATCATGTTCACTAACACATATGACTCTGCCTCGCTAAAACGGTGGCAAAGTGACAAGCCTTTTCTTTGTGTTTGCACAGCTAACAAAGACGAAGTATTGAGCGGAGATCTTGTGTAGAATAGATAATTGCCTGTCAGGGTGATCCAGTGTAGAGTAAGCGGCTCTGTTCTGTGTTAAAGGCAAATCTAAATCAGCAAGAAAGGGCAATATCCCAGAATCATTAGTGTTTTCGAAGGCACCTCAGTCATGACAACAACTAATCTATACAAGCCTTCAACACACAAACACAACCACCATTATAGTGATCGTGTCAACCCCAACAAGATCGTGTGTAAACAACAACATGGTTCCTGACCATTGACTTGATGTGTTCTTCGTGACAGTCAGGTCAGATTCAATGGGACAAACCTTGTTCATTGTTACATTGGCAACAGGATGTTATTTTTATCTGTGAAGTTAACGAGTCCAGTAAAGAAAAATCTAGTTTTTTTCTACATCAGAGTCCAGTGCAATACAATATTGTACATGCTATATCTATACCAAACTATCTAATCTAGTGCTGTATGTGAATTTTGAATAGGGTCCTATACTCCAGAGGTAGTTGCTTTATCATCCCTATTTCCCATGCTGGTCAGTCAGAAGAGAGGCATCCCACACAGTTATTGTCCCACACCTGAGCAGCGTCATGATATTTGTTTTGCACTGGTGTGAGACTTAAACTGGAGGGGACAGTGGTGGCAGCACTCTGGCATCCTCTTCTTCCAACTGTCACTAGGTCTCTGGCTGGGGCTGTGCTTTCACCTCCGTTGGCAGTCACGCTACTCATTGTGCTTCCTGGGAGCTGAGAGTTGGCTTTGAGGTGATTGAACAGGCATGGCGTTGCCAGGTCAATGTCTTTCTATGGTCGATATCCAATCTAAGTCTATTGGATTGATAGCATTAGCAGATTTGGGGATTGGATATTGATAGCAAAACTAATATTTTCAGTAAATTACTGGTTGAGCTTGTTGTCACAAAAATAAACTAATAGCCGATGCCAAATACTGGAGCTAATGAAAACAATACTGAGCATGCTTGTGTTGGTGTTTTAAGTACGTATATGTGTTGTTGCATAAGTGTGAGACACTACACAACATTGCTTGCAGCCACACTATCATCCAGGCGCACAGCCCTGATAGGCTACATCCCATTACACCCAGTATGCAGATTACCATTTAGCTGGAGGTGTCTGACAGAGCGAATGAGAGATAACATCAGTGGCCCATATTTCGTCCTATTCTTCAGCCCCCCGGAGTACAATACAATAACCTCCCAATAACCACTACCCACACTATAACTACAGCCCAGCCAGCAACACACTACTGTATTTGTCAGGGGTCACATTGTACAAGTTAAATAAGGAAGAAAAACATACAAGCTGTGGTTTATGATGTAGGAGGGAAAAGATCAGGGCAGAGGCATATAGCAATGAGGAGTAGAGGGAACTTTAACAGCAGGAGTAGCTGGGAATGGAAAGGAACTGTCTTCCACTCAATTGTTATTGACTAATACGGAATTATCTATTTTTAAATACATTGTTACAATAATGATCACACAGTACTAGGTCTATAAAGAATAATTGATCAGTCTGTGCAATATTCCTCTCAAAGTAACTATGATAATTAATGTTAATACAAATAGCTTTTCTGGAGTATGCCCATTGAATCGCATTTCATTACATTTGATCAAACACATATCTCTCTACTATAGCTCCCCTCTCAGGTCTCACGAATAGATTGATAGCTGATTAAGAACAGGTGCAGGTCCCACAACCCCCTCTCTGGCTCAGGAACACAGAGGAAACCTTCCCTCTCTACCAGTAGGCTACCTTCTGCCTCCCCTGTAAGGCTAACATGCTACAACCCGGAAATGACTACATATGGCTTACGTAGGTGTCCAATTCATACGGGAATTGGTTGTGTTGTGAATGTACAGTTGAAGTCGGAAGTTTACATACACCTTAGCCAAATACATTTAAACTCTGTTTTTCACAATTCCTGACATTTAACCCTAGTAAAAATGCCCTGTCTTAGGTCAGTTAGGATCACCACTTTATTTTAACAATGTTTTAACAATGTCAGAATAACAATGTCAGAATAATAGGAGAGAGAATTATTTATTTAAGCTTTTATTTATTTCATCACATTCCCAGTGGGTCAGAAGTTTACATACACTCAATTAGTATTTGGTAGCATTGCCTTTAAATTGTTTAACTTGGGTCAAACGTTTCGGGTAGCCTTCCACAAGCTTCCCACAATAAATTGGTTGAATTTTGGCCCATTCCTCCTAACAGAGCTAGTGTAACTGAGTCAGGTTTGTAGGCCTCCTTGCTTGCACACACTTTTTCAGTTCTGCCCACACATTTTCTATAGGATTGAGGTCAGGGCTTTGTGATGGCAACTCCAATACCTTGACTTTGTTGTCCTTAAGCCATTTTGCCACAACTTTGGAAGTATGCTTGGGGTCATTGTCCATTTGGAAGACCCATTTGCGACCAAGCTTTAACTTGATTTCTTGAGATGTTGCTTCAATATATCCACATAATTTTCCTTCCTCATGATGCCATCTATTTTGTGAAGTGCACCAGTCCCTCCTGCAGCAAAGCACCCCCACAGCATGATGCTGCCACCCCCGCGCTTCACGGTTGGGATGGTGTTCTTCGGCTTGCAAGCACCCCCTTTTTCCTCCAAACATAACAATGGTCATTATGGCCAAACAATTCTATATTTGTTTCATCAGACCAGAGGACATTTCTCCAAAAAGTATGATCTTTGTCCCCATGTGCAGTTGCAAACCGTAGTTTTTGCTTTTTTATGGAGGTTTTGGAGCAGTGGCTTCTTCCTTGCTGAGCGGCCTTTCCAGTTATGTCGATATAGGACTTGTTTTACTGTGGATATAGATACTTTTGTACCTGTTTCCTACAGCATCTTCACAAGGTCCTTTGCTGTTGTTCTGGGATTGATTTGCACTTTTCGCACCAAAGTACCTTCATCTCTAGGAGACAGAACGCGTCTCCTTCCTGAGCAGTATGATGGCTGCGTGGTCCCATGGTGTTTATACTTGCGTACTATTGTTAGTACAGATGAACGTGGTACATTCCGGCATTTGGAAATTGCTCCCAAGGATGAACCAGACTTGTGGAGGTCTACAATTTGTTTTCTGAGGTCTTGGCTGATTTCTTTTGATTTTCCCATGATGTCAAGCAAAGAGGCACTGAGTTTGAAGGTAGGTCTTGAAATACATCTACAGGTATACCTCCAATTGACTCAAATGATGTCAATTAGCCTATCAGAAGCTTCTATTTTCCAAGCTGTTTAAAGGCACAGTCAACTTAGTGTATGTAAACTTCTGACCCACTTGAATTGTGATACAGTAAATTATAAGTGAAATAATCTGTCTGTAAACAATTGTTAGAAAAATTACTTGATGTCCTAACCGACTTGCCAAAACTATAGTTTGTTAACAAGAAATTTGTGGAGCGGTTGAAAAACGAGTTGTAATGACTCCAACCTAAGTGTATGTAAACCTCCGACTTCAACTGTAGGTATGTGAACATATGTTATTTATTTTTTATAAGCTTGTGTTTATTTTTAGTTATTAGAGAGTGTGGGAGTGAGTTAATATTCCTTGGGACAAAAGGTTAGTTCTCAGTGGACTGTTTTTTCCATCATCTCAGGGTTAAAAAACAGTATTTAATGATGATGATTATGGTGGTGTATCATAGTACAGTTAAAGATCATTAGGTAGATAATGATGCCTTTAGGAATGGCAATCCTTAAAATGAAAATTCCTCAAAGTAAATGGGAATAATTTCTCAGTCTCATTATACAACAAATCAAATCTGAACATGTAAGTAGCATTCTCTACATACAGAATAAAGGACTTTTCAGTTGAAAGACTAAAAATTAAAGTTTTAAAGCAAATTTCCTGAAATTCTACACATTATATTTTCTACATACTTAATATCTGGTTTTAGTCATTTAAGTTACAGTTTGGACATAGGCGGCCCGAAAAAACTGAAAAGGCCGTGACTTTCATTCAGTTAGTGAGAGCAAGAGCGAGAGAGAGAGATGGTGTGTCTTGTCACTGTGTCTCTTACCTCCCAGCAGTTTGGACTGACAGTTGACAAATTCGGGTTTGCTCTGAGAGCTGTAGCGCTGGCAGGTGTGGTGGAGGATCTGGATAAAGGTGCACTTCTCGCCGGCCGAGCCAGCCACCCACTGGTCAAAGGCATTGTCAAACGCCAAGTCAAACTCTGGACAATCCTTATAGAGAGAGATACAGAAACAGAGCGAGAGAAATAGAGAGAGATACAGAAACAGAGCAAGAGAAATAGAGAGCAAGCATGACCCAGGCGCTAGGGGTTGATATGGGATTTGCCCTAATGAAATGGGTCAGGTCATGTGGTCAGGAAAAACTCAGCCCTCTCGAGAGAAGTTCAGTGAACTGTAAACTCACTCTGTTGGGGTCACAGCCGTTGACCTGTTTCAGCTGGTCAATGCTCCACATTGACCTCTTGGCGAAGGACGATGAGCCTGGGAACTGCTTCACCTTGGTGATGGACACATGGGAAGGCTTCTTATTTGTCACTGGGGAGAAAAAATTAAGTAACATTTAGTTCAAAACTAACAAAATTAACTGTTAATAAGGGAAGGAGTAAGGGATTAAACTTAATTGAACAAAATTAGATGCCAAATGTTCATATAATGAAAGTACTGTTTTGAACAGCGTGAATGTGAGAACACACTATGGTCATCACAAAGTCAACACAAGCAATGAGAGTGACAAGCTTCCTCCATAGCAGCTGTGTTCAGGAATACAGAGTTAATTGGTGCCAAAAACAACATAGGCTTATCAGCAAAAGCAACAGAATATAACAAGCTCTTTGTTCCTGAGAGAAAGCCTGGTCTAATGTTGACTGGACCTCCCTGTGGCCGGGCCTTTGACATTATCATAGTTATCCAGTCAAAATATGTCTACTTATCTTTCATTTACTTCCAATGGGAGCTATCCCCTTTAACCCAACCACACAGTGTCTGACAGTATGATAAGGTGCAGTGTGACCAAAAGAAAATAAAAAGTTGACTTCATTGGTCTTGTCAGAGTCTGCGGTTATGGATTGCTGGCACCTTTTACACTTCACCAGACGCAACTTGCACAAAAGATAAGCACCACCGTTTGTCTTGATAAAAATGATGCATTGCTTCAGGTCCGCTGTCGACTAAATCTAAGTGGATATCAAGAACGGCTAAAGCCTTGTGCTAGATAATCTACTCTCAGTATCTGGAGAAAGAGGGAAAATATAAATCAACTCATATGAGGTTGAGCCAAAGAGGAACACTCATACTAGTGAGTATGGCCGGAGGTCTAGTATCCAGTATCCACATCCTGCCCTGTGACATCACCAGAATATCACCACACCTCCCTGCAGTCCACACTCTTTCCATGGATCAAAGCTCTGTGTTTACAGATCATCCTGTTCAGAGTTCCGTCAGAACCACTGCATGCGTGCACAGCTGGATCCAGGCACGCCAATATCTTTTGGAAGGGCCAACGTTCTCCTGTGTTGTTTTTGCAGGCCCAAATGCCAGGCCACTGTTTCCGCTCTCCCCATCTACCGTTGTGTCTTTCTACATAGACAGATATGCCTTGTTTAGGTCACTCGTCTTCTGTTCTGTTCCGAGTTTGGTTTCCAAAACACAGTACCATCTGGGCAGGTTGTTATCAGTTACCGACATGTTTTTGAGGCCTAGTGTCAGACCAAGCCCTTCTCCTGTTTTTCACATTGTCTTTTAATAAGAGAGAGAGAGAGAGAGAGAGAGAGAGAGAGAGAGAGAGAGAGAGAGAGAGAGAGAAAGAGAGGGGGGGGGGGGGGGGGGGTGAGACCAGACTACTCTCTGCTGAGACCATAATATTGAATTGCCATCATCCGACCCCTATCCTCCCCATCCCCAGACTCTTTGGCACCGATGCCCTGAAGCCAAATGAAAAGTGTGAGCTGCCTGTTGATCAGAGGACAATACCAAACTGTAGACATGTTTCGTTTTGCTCTTTCTTTGGAGAAATATGATAGGCATCGTCTCAAGAAATAGGATGGGTTTCTCTGTTAGAGGACAAAGCTCATCAGTTAATGAGCGCTGAAATCTCAGGGCCACTCGGCTGTACTGTCAACACTGAATAAAAACAAGCAGACACCTCTGAGCCGATCCAATCAGTTTCTTATGCTGCTGTTGACTCCTACCTTGTCTGAGTTTGTCTCCATGTTATCAGACAATTACTACATGCCATCAGAGACCTTGGCTCCATTTTCAGAGAAAGAAAGTATTGTGAGAAAACAAATGTGTCCCTCAAAGGAAGTTCACGCTATTATCATGATTATGTTCTCACTCACTTGAGACTCTAGGGTGTTCCAGCAGATAATGAACATTTGAGATAATGGTTTTTACAAATTTATTCAGTATAACATTATATGCAGTAAGCACCCATTTCAGAGTAGAATTAAGAAGAAGCAACAACATTTTTGTGAGAAACCATTCATGGAAGCCATTTGACTACAGAGACACAGCCAAAGGTATTCCATGAGTGAGGCCAAAATTCAAACCAAAGTCAATGTGAGAGGAAGGACCATGTTGGAGTTCCTATGCTCTCACAAGCTCTTGCTAATGATAGTCTAATTTCCTCCAGTGGATCAGGGTCTTATTGTGCTTGGCTGTGTGGAGTCCTGTGACCAGAGGGAAAGTCATCTACCATAAGCAGACAAGGGGACACGAGAGGGAACTTTCCCAGACTCAGCTTACGGAAATATTGTCGTAGTTGTGGTTGCTGAGATAGCAACAGGAGTAACATTACTAATGAAAACATTACCTTGTCAAGAGGCACAAATAATAATGTGAGATGTGTGCGGGTTTAAGGTTTTGAATACCCATTCGCTACAATTTCCAGTTTATGAGGATAGCTAGGGAAACATATTTCATTGGAACAAATTTGAATTTAAATAAAAGGAGCCTTAGAAGACTAAAATGATTCAAGGTAATCTACAGTAAGCCAAACCAAACTGTTAGCTAAAGAATGCATAATGAGAGTTCTGATCCAGCTTATGACAATGAAGGCTTGTTGAATGTGATGGACCACCCCCACCTGAGTGTGACCAAGACAGAATATGATTACTCAATTACATAACACCACAGAGTCCTTATGTCAACAACCTACATCATAAAGGACTTCCTACAGTATGTAACCTTGGTAATTTGGTGTGAAGTAAAAGAGGAAAAGGGACTGGCTGATAGGAGTCAATATCGAGATGCAAAAACAAAATCTGAATGGAACAGGGCAGTTTTGATTACATACGGGAGTGAGTTGCACCCAATATTTTCTCCTATACAAGCTTGACCTGTCAAAGACCTGTCTATACCATGAAGGACTGCGCATGCACACACCCATGCCACTGCAGGAGGTTCTGAAACAACATGGTTACCCCTCATGCCTGGATCAGAGACACCTTCAGAACGTAATATCACTTCACATTATAGTTGTGGACACACTTCTGTAGCTCCGCATTTGTCCACCCTCTTTCCATAAAGCACTAAGGTGGATGGGAAAAAATAAAGCGCTTGTCAAGCTTGGAAGATGAAAGCGCTTTTTGATGTGCACCATTTGACTCTTTCACTCTCTCTCTCTCTTCCTCTATAAAATGCATTTCAAAGCTTTCTCCGGACCAGGTGGGTGAAACCCTCTTGAGAATTCAGATCATTCAGTCAGATCTGTTCTCCAGAGTAAAAATACATAAATAATAATTGTTTTACTCAAACCACCCCGCGGGACAGATTGGACCCCATCTGACACCCCTGATTTAGGGACAAGCGAGCTGAAGCCGTTTACAGATGAAAAGGCTTCATGTTGGATCAAACAAACAGATCATCCTCTATATCTTTCTGGATCGCAGCCACATGGTGGAACCGGGTTAATGGTCAAAGTAGTGAGGAGAAAGGAGGAGAACTGTACATAATCGTCATGCTTGGCTGACTGGGTTTTTGCAGTAGTGGAGGAGGATACTCAAAGGACAGACGGTCCACATGTGTGCACATAGTAAGCAGTAGAAGGCTACACTTCAGTGAGCCAAGGTCATCCCACAATAGCCACTGATACCCCAAGGCCATCCCTTCAGAGATTCAAATTGTATGTTAAGGTACATTCTGCAGAGTTTGGACTCATTCACTTGGCACCAACCCAAGTTCTTGTAGACTAGTTAACATGGTCTACTGTGTTTTTGTAAAATAATGAAAAAGTGAAAGTTCAGAAACAGTGTTGTCAAATGATTTTCAAAAAGCTCTATGCCAAACCACAGCTTAAAAGTAGGCTAATGTTTTCAAGACTCAAAAAGCTCTCTTGCTGCCTTGGAAATCATGTCTACAGAGGGATAAACGAACAAGCGAGCTGACTGGTTTCTGAGTCAGTGAAGAGGAGATGCCTTCACCATGCTCTAATTTGTTATTATAGTGCTGGAACGGCCCATCTAACGCTGCTCTCTGTCTGGGCCTACTGCATCATTACTGGTCTATTTAAAACCCTGCCCTGCTCAGGCTGAACTGGAACACATTGTTATACTCCAACAGAGCCTGTTACTGTGACACGCGCTAGGCTAATACTGGCTAGACAGACCACAGCAGGCCACAACAATCCCCTCCACAGTCAATTCATGGGCTCAGGGACAAGGACCTGCTGTGTGGCCCATGTTAGTACAGGGTGGAGGCCATGCCATGGCCAGACACTGTGGTAGTGTGGAGGGGACACACCATGGTACCTAACAACTGGGGAATGGAGCGCTGCTTGGTTCAATGTTATGTGAGACTCAGTTAATCAATCACCCAGCAGATGCAGAAGACATCATTTATTCACACGTGTGGGAGAAACAGCAGAGAAGTGTTTGTCTGTGTTGAAGAGAATGCCCATGATTCCTCTCTAACAGTGAAATCTTTATCATACCAAAGACAATGTTAAAGTGGTTATTGTGCAATCTCTGTAAGCTCAAATCAAATAAAGTTGTATTTGTCACATGCTTCGTGAACAGGTGTAGACCAACAGTGAAATGCTTACATACAGGCCCCTTACCAACAATGCAGAGAAAAAATTGAAAAATAATAACACAAAGAATAAATACATGAGTAACGATAACTTGGCTATATACACAGGTTACCATTACCAAGTCGATGTGCAGGGGTACGAGGTAATTGAGGTAGATATGTAAATATAGGTAGGGATAAAGTGACTTGGCAACAGGATAGATAATATACAGTAGCAGCAGCATATGTAATGACTCAAAATAATTAGTGCAAAAACGGTCAATGCCGATAGTTAAAGGGATAATCGACCCCAAACAACTAATTCATATTATTAACAGTGTTAAACAGCGTTAAATAACACTAAAAGTGAAAACAATATATTTTGTGAACACATTTTTCATTTTGTCGTAATAACACGATTGGTAGAAACACATGAAAATCATTTTGGGAAATCTGTTGCAGCTCAAGTCTACTACAAAACTCACAATGCAATGTTCTCCATCTCCCTGGGCTGGCTGGCTGGTTAGCTAAGTGCGCTATCTCACAGAGTTCAACTTGCAGTTTGTCTCTGCCACTGAGCTATAAATGGCCTCACTGCCCAAAGCGAGAGAAGCATTATGTTGCTTTCCCACAGTGATAATTTTGAGGAGATGGGAAACGCCATTAGAATCGGATTGTGTGACGATTAGCTTAGCAACCATGTGACACCAGCATGAGACGTTAATGCGATTGGTCGACAGTCAGTTGGGTGGGGCGTTTCTTTTTGAGGATCCGAGGGCCCATGACAAATCTTTTCAGCCTCCTGAGGGGGAAGAGGCGTTGTCGTGCCTTCTTTACGACTGTGTTGGTGTGTGGGGACCATGATAGATTCCTTAGTGACGTGGACACCGAGGAACTTGACGCTCTCGACCCGCTCCACTTTGTTTCCTGTAGTCCATCAGCTTCTTTGTCTTGCTGACGTTGAGGGAGAGGTTGTTGTCCTGTCACACAGCTTATGCCCACAGAGTTTGAATACATGAAACTCCTATCCCTTGAGAGTTCACACCCTTCCATTTCTATATTTCAATGACCGGGACAAATCCCAGGCAGGGTATTTTATGGATTTTATATATTTTTAATCTCCCTTTAATCCCATATTCAGAGAGTATTTTCATAATATGAAAGGGCCTTTGCTGTGGAGGGGAAAAGAACAGTCTGATCCATGAAAATGGAGATTAACTGACAGAAGCTGACCAAAATTCCCTTTTCATCTGCCGACAGTAATATTCCCTTTGTAATTTAAATCAGGGGCACATCACTACCTAGAACAAGGTATCTGTGCGTTCTGAAAAGAGATACAATTATTCTGTTTCAATATTTGAACAGCCCCAACTATCTGGGTGGACAACGTTTAAATAAAACCCTTTGAAACAGGACACTGGAGAGATAAAAAGTTATTCATGTTAGTTTGACAGGTGGATGGAGAAATAGTGATACAATATTCTACCCAGTCAGTTTTTCAGGTGTTTTTAGCCTTGTTTTTTAGCTCGGTTTGAATATATTTAGAATTGAACGTCTCATTACCCTCAAGCACAACATCAATTCCGCTGTGATGCTAATGGCTCCGAGAGTGAGTAGCATATGCATGGGGTAACCCTAATGATCATTACAATGACAACATCACCACAAAATTAGGATGGATTGTCAGGGCATGTTTACTAGAGAACTGTGTGAGAAGTTACAGATAGTCTGATGTTACTCACAAAATTGGGAGTAAATCAACGTATTTTAAAGACTACTACACAAGAGACTTGCATTTCTTTATTAGCATTAAATGTTCATAGAGGCTTTTGGATAATGAAAACATGCTATGTTCTACCTAATGCTGAGCGAGGGGGGAGGGGGGGGGGTTGTTTATTAAACAACTAATTGACCAACGTTGGTTCAATTACTTAAATTCCTTAAGTTCGTTTCTTTTTGTGAGCCCAAATCAAGTCAAGAATTATGTGGGAAGCTGGGCTGAAGGGAGTTGTAGTTTTCATTAAGCAAATATTCAACCTAGTTCATCGCAGAAATGTGGTAAATAATAAAAAAACGAAACTGAAACCAAACCGACCTCAAAAAGCACTAATCGCTCAGCCCTAGTTCTACCTTATCAATGGGAGTTCTAGGCCCATCTCGTAGGCAAATTATTGCCACAAACTTCAAGCTTACTTGTTAAGAA